CATGATTATAGTCATTTATTTCTAAGGGGCATCGTTTCCTGTTCAAAGTTGATCTCTATTTTTTATCTACTCTTTAGAAACTTCATTTCAGTTGTGTCCTTGTTATCCGTTATTGTCAACCTCTGTGATTAACCAGGTTCTTTTCAGCCTGTAAACATATTTAAGTCTCTCATATTAAATGATATTCCCCCCCCCACCAAAAAAAAAACCCACACCTTTCTTCTTGTTTTATATTTCCCCTTCCTCTTCCCAGCTGATTTTTTGAAAGATTGATACTTGAATTCACTTATTCCCATTCACTGCATTGCAATCTGGAGTCCTCATGCACTCTTAAACAAATAGTGACTTTCACTTCTAATTATTATTATGTGACATTTAAACAGCTGAACAGTCATGTCTTGAAACTTTCTTTTTTTGTTGTAGATGACTCCATGTTCTCTTTGTTTTCTTGAGCCCATGGTAGTTTATTTTTAGTCTTTTTTATAGTTTTGCCACTTATTCTTGAAAGGTTGATTTTTCTCAGATTTTATTATTAGTTTTCTTCTCTTATTTTACATACCCATCCTTAGTGACCTTATACCACAGACCCCTTCCATAGTTGACTATGTGTTGATGATTCTTTCATCTTCAGTTCCAGCCACACCTGTGAAGCTCTTTGCTATTTTTTCCAATGCTTTTAAGTCCCAAAAGAACCCTAAACTCCTCGTCACCAGCTGTACTCATTATCTTGCCTATAAGACTGATGTAAACTCCTGTGCTTCCCAAGCTAATAAATGGTGCTACTGCCCACCAACATCAGAGAACCAGAGACTCCTTTTATATCTTTTCTCTCTGTTGACAGTCATTCACACCCCAGATTGGAGATTCTGTCTTAAATATCTCTTCAGTCTGCCTCCCCTCATTAACCTTATCACCATGAGCCTTGTCCCTCAGACCCTTATCTCACACATAAATTACTGGGATGGCTTCCTTATTGTTTTTCTTACCTTTATTATTGCTCCCTCTCTGTCTTCTGTTGAGCTACCATTGGAGTGGGTTATTTATTTATTTGTTTATTAAACCTTTATTTATTTATTTATCTTTAATCTTTACACCCAGCATGGGGTTCGAACCCACAACACTGAAATCAAGAGTCACATGTGCTTCCGACTGAGGCAGCCAGGTCTCCCAGAGTGTTTTTTTTTAAAACATGATAATTTAATTGCCATGCTTAAAAAATTTTAATATCTCTCCATTGCCCTTTTACTGTCTTTAGTATTGGATACAGTACTAAACAATTCAGGATATTGTTCTTTTCATTGCCTCCAACTGCATTTAGTATTACTTTCTCATTATATATTGCACACTGTAGCCATTCTAATTCATTTATAGTTTGCCATATGTGGTGTTTTGATTCATATTTTTATTTGCACAGATTGCTTTGTCTGCAATTCCTTTGTATTCTTGTTAATTGGGTATTGCTCATTGACTAAAGTTTTTATTCTAAATATTCATGATTATTTCTGTGACTATAGAAATAGGTGATTTAGTTTAGTTGATGGTAACTTTAAGATACTGGTTTTCAAAATTTCAAAAATTTTTTTTTTTCAAAAAATTTTTTTTTATGTAGCAAAGGCCTTTTTTGTGTTTTTTCTTTTTTCTTTTTTAAGATTTTATTTATTTATTCATGAGACGCAGAGAGGGAGAGGGAGAAGCAGGCTCCATGCAGGGGTCCTGACATGGGACTCGATCCCGGGTCTTCAGGATCACACCTGATCCTGGGCTGAAGGCAGCGCTAAACCGCTGAGCCACCCTGGCTGCCTGCTTTTTTTTTTTTTTTTTTTTTAAACTTAAAAAATTTTATCTATTTATTTGAGACAGAAAGAGATATGTAGAGAGAAATAGAGAGAGCACCAGCAGTGGGGAGAGGGAGTAGCAGGCTCCCTGCTGAGCAGAGAGCCCAATGCAGGGCTTGATCCTGGGATCCTGGCATCCATGACCTGAGCCAAAGGCAAATGCTTAAATGACTGAGCCACCAAGGTGTCCCTGGGCAGAAGCTTTCAAGTTTGATATACTTTCATTTGTTATACTTGCTTTGGTGGTTTGTGCTTTTGGTGTCCTATCCAAAAAATTCTTGGCAAGACCAGTGTGGAGTAGTTTCTTCCCTACATTTTTTTTCTGGAGTTTTATGGCATTGAATCAGATTTAAAGCTTTGATCTCTTTTGAGTTAGTTTTTGTGAATGGTGTAAGATAGGTGTTCATTTTTTTTTTTTTTGGCGTCTAGTTTTATTGTTCTGCGTGAATACTGTTTTCATTCCCCATTGAGTACTCTGGGTTCCCTTATTGAATATTATTTGACCATATATGCAGGAGTTTAATTCTGGGTTCCCTATTCTGTTCTTTTGGCCTATATGTCCATCTTTATGCCAGTACCATACTGTTTTTAATAACTACATTCTTATAGAGTAGTTTGAAATAAGGAGTATCATACCTCTAGTTTTGTTATTTTTCCTCAATACTGCTTTGGCTGTTCAGGGTCTTTCATGGTTCCATGCAAATTTTTGCATGTTATAGATTCTGTGTAAATGAAATTTATATATATATAAATATATATATCCTCATTGCATTTATTAGCAATTCATTTTTATAGCTGAGTGGAAGGTATTGATTGAATGGGTATACCACATGTTTATCCCTTCACCTGATGATTGACATTTGAGATGTTTGCTATTTTTGGCCATTATAAGTAAAGTTGCTGTGGACATTCATCTTTGTATGTCTTCGCACACATTTTTGTTTTTCTTGGGTAAATAACTAGGATTAGAATGTCTGGGTCATTTGATGCAGATACATGTTTAACTTTTTAAGAAATTGCCAAACTGTTTTCCAAAGGGATTGTGTTGTTTTATATTTCTACCAGCAATGTATGAGGGTTTCAATAACTCTGCATACTCACATTTGATATGGTCAGTCTTTTTTATTTTAGCTATTTTAATTAGTGTGTAGTGGAATTGCATTGTGGTTTTAGTTTGCATTTTCATGATAATGATGTAGACTGCCTTTTCAGGTACTTGTTAACCATTTACACATATTCTTTTATAAAGTATCTTTTAAAATCCTTTGCCCGTTTAAAAATTATTAGAGTGTTTGTCTTATTATTTAGTAGTAAGAGTTCTTTATATATTCTGGATACAGGGATCCCTGGGTGGCGCAGCGGTTTGGCGCCTGCCTTTGGCCCAGGGTGCGATCCTGGAGACCCAGGATCGAATCCCACATCGGGCTTCCGGTGCATGGAGCCTGCTTCTCCCTCTGCCTGTGTCTCTGCCTCTCTCTCTCTCTGTGACTATCATAAATAAATAAAAATTAAAAAAGAATATTCTGGATACAAGTTCTATATTAGATATATGTAATGAGAATATATTCTGTGGCTAGTGTTTTTATTTTTTTCTCTTTTTTTTTTTTTCTTTTTAGAGAAAGCTTAAGCAGGCTCTATGCCCAGCGTGGAATCTGACATGGGGCTCAATCTCACAACCTTGAGATCATGGCCTTAGCCAAAATTGAGATTTAGGACACTTAATGGAGTAGCTACCCAGACACCCCCTAGTGTTTTATTTTCTTAAAGACATCTTTCAAAGAGCATTTACCATTGTGAAGTAGCCCAATTTATCAATATTTCCTTTTATTTTGTTTTATCCAAGAAGTCTTACATTAAATTGCAAAGATTTTCTCCCATATTCTCTTCTAGAAGTTTTGTAATTCTTAACTTTTAATTTAGTTATATATTTGGTTTTAGTTGTCCTCTATTAGGATGCTTTATATTGCAAAGAAAAGAGTAGTTTATTAAGGTATAATCTTAAATGGCAGATTATCTTTCCATTAAACATAACAAGAAAAGCTTCATTTTTGAGGTTTGCAAGACAGTGAGTTAAGTAATGTCATGTTAGTAATGTCAACCAAACTTTTACTTTTTCAAAGTAGTTAAAATGATTTAAAAATGCAGTCATTTTTTAATTTATGAAGCTCATTTGCAGCTTTTCCGAATGTGGAGGTAGACCCACATAATCTTGAACACATACTGAAACAAGATTTAAGAAAAAATTCTTTTCTCAAGTTTTTCTCTGGAAAGTTTATTTTATTTTTTAAAGATTATTTGAGAGAGAGAGAGGCAGGGAAGAGCCAATGGAGAGGGAGAGAAAGTCTTAAACAACCTCCACACAGAGTGCAGAGCTGCATGTGGGGCTTGATCTCCCAACCACGAGATCATGACCAGAGCCAAAACCAAGAGTTGGATGCTTAGCCACCTGTGCCAATCCAGGCATCCTCTGAAAGTTTATTTTAAATATTATGAATTAGTGTAAAGATACTGTCAGTTGGTTTCTTTTTTTTTTTTAATAATTTTTTTTTTATTTATTTACGATAGTCACAGAGAGACAGAGAGAGAGAGAGAGAGAGAGAGGCAGAGACACAGGCAGATGGAGAAGCAGGCTCCATGCACCGGGAGCCCGACGCGGGATTCGATCCTGGGTCTCCAGGATCGCGCCCCGGGCCAAAGGCAGGCGCCAAACCGCTGCGCCACCCAGGGATCCCTGTCAGTTGGTTTCTAAAAGAACTTCAAAGTAGTTTTATTTTTATTGTGCTGTATATCCATCAGTTATTTTCTAGATCCAGTGAAGTGTTGTGTGGATGTGTGTGTCCACCTTTTAAAGTTGTATGTTTGATAAAAATACTATCTTATCTAAAGTGCTTGGAATCCATTAGCTTTAAGAGAAATTTTTCGACCTTAGAGTCTAAAATGATTTGTAACCAATATATACTAAACTTTTAGCTAGTGGGATAAATTAGATGCTAAGCAACTTAAACTGAGAAATTACTAATAGTTATAAGAAAGGGTCAAAGTTTTAAAAATGTAGTTATTTTATCAAATCATTAAAATGTTTTGATTGCAGGTTGGAATTTTAAAGTAAAATGTGGCTTCTGAAGTAATGTGTTAATTTTAAACCAAAGCTGCTTTATTTTCTAGGTGTTCATTGTACCCATGGTTTCAATCGCACTGGTTTCCTCATATGTGCCTTTTTGGTGGAGAAAATGGATTGGAGGTATTTGTTTCTTGTTATAACGGAAGAAGACTAGTAATTGATGATATATTTTATTGATTCTTTTAGTTTTAGCATTTTATATTACCAAATTTTTGATAAAGTCATGATTAATAAAATTTAAAATGGTTTTCGTTTTAGACTTGATTAATCTTTAAAATACCATTTATTACCTGGTATGTTGTTCTAAGTGGCACTGTAGTTTAATGTTTATGGATTTTTATACTATGTCTTTTCTTTTCCAGATTTTTTTTTTACATATTCCAGAATAATCAGATGCAACTTTTCTCAATATTTTTTTTGTATTCACCTTTGGAAGTTACTGTTGTTGTTATTGTTCTTTCTTTTCTTTTTGTAAGTAAGCTAGCAAAATGCCCAACATGGGGCTTAAACTTACGACCCTGAGGTTGAGTTGCGTGCTCCACTGACTGAACCAGCCAGACGCCCCTTGTTCTTTTCATTTTTAATAATACCTTTTTTAATAGCTGTTGAATATTAGGAAAACTTATAATGGTATATGAAAAGAGGTATTTTGGGACAGTTACTGAATTTGAACCAATCAAACAAACATGTCTTTATTGAAGTGTCTGTTTAGATCCTGAGAGAACCTGAAATTGCCTGAAATTCCTGAGTGAATGGGATATTACTACCTGAATTTTCTTGTTTATTGATTGAGGGTCATTATTTTTGTATATAAATACAGAGGGTCCTTCTGTGGATATAATCAGCTGAAGTACACATATGATTGTGTATTTCTCTTCACACATCCTCTGGTTCTCTACTGCATGCTTTTCCAGGTCTGTCTTTCTGGCCTTTGAAATGCTTTCAACAGTAACCCCAGACTACTGTGTTAGTCTGTGGTTTTGCCTCTCTCTGAGGACCTTTGCTCTTTTACCTGGGTCTATTGAAAGTTCTTAAAAGCTAACATGCTTTTACTTTTATTCATATTGCTCCTCACATTTCTTTGATTTCTTTTAGAGTCAGACCTCAATCTTCAAGGCTTTATTTAGAATTTTCACAGACTTTACCCGGGTCTCTTTTATATGCTCATTGCAGCTTACCTTTAGAGTTTAGGGATTATCAGTGTATCTTATATTTAAGCTGTTTCAGAAGAAATTTGTCTTTCAATGATTGAATGCCTTCGGTGTGGGGAATATGATTTGTCCATTTCATAAACCTATATTATACTTCATTTGGTACCTGAAATAGAATGAGTGAGTTTTGATAAATCTACATAAATGAAGAGTGGTGAGGAAATTCCATGGTGTTTGTTTTCCATAGTATTGAAGCAGCAGTTGCTACTTTTGCTCAAGCCAGACCACCAGGAATTTATAAGGGTGATTATTTGAAAGAACTTTTTCGTCGCTATGGTGATATAGAGGAAGCACCACCTCCACCACTATTGCCAGATTGGTGTTTTGAGGATGATGACGAGGAAGATGAGGATGAGGATGGAAAAAAGGAATCAGAACCTGGGTCAAGTGCCTCCTTCGGCAAAAGGAGAAAAGAACGGTTAAAACTGGTAATGTTTAAAAATATTATAGTCTTTACTTTTCTCTTCTGCAAGCTTATTGAGATTTCTGTGTTTAGCTAGATTTGTAAAGTTACTTCATTCTGGCTGTTTCTAAAGATTCTTGATAGCCATGAGTCTGCATTTTCTATGGGAAAAGTTTGTTGAGTAAGTTCATTTTGTTCTGATTCGTAGGTAAACCAAACAACTCTTACATATTAGACTGAGAATTTACTATTTTTTTCTTGTAAAGTATTGGGAGATTCCAGCTACATAGTGAAACTTTTTACTGATGCTTTACAAAATTGTCATATAGTTAAAATAACTTTACATATAAATTCTACTCCTTTCCATGGTTGGTATTTTCATATTTTCTGTAAAGTTGAACTGAGAAGACTCTTCTATGGACAACTCCCACTAATCTTCTTACTTCTATGGACAACTCCCATTAAAAGGCCTAACAAAAAACCATTAGGAATTCTCCTCTCGGGGGGGACAGGAGAGATGCTGAGAAGAAAAGTACTGATTGTACTTCTATATACAGGTATATGGCATATAGGTCAAAGGGAAAAGTTAGGCAAAGTGTGGAGATAATGAAATGTTAATGAAGTTAGTAATTAAGGAATGTGGATATCAGTTGAGCAGTAAAAGATACAACTCCCTTATTAGTAGGCAGTGATTCACAGGCAAGGAATAAGATGTCTTTTTTTTTTATGTAAATCATATGATACAGTCAGTTGGGATTTTTAAAAAAGTCCCTTATTTGAAAAACATTGTTTTAATATGTATATACACATTTCAAACTTCAAGACTTTGAGGCCACTGAAAAGTGTTAATTGCTTTGAAGCATAGAAATAATTTAAAAAATAACTTAATTCTCTTAGTCTAACTCATTGATTACTGAATCACATACCTAGAAAAATAATTACATTCTAAGAAAAGGCTAATAGCATAATATAGCATAAATGACTACCTTCTTACAGTATCACTTTTTGTAAGGAAATTTAACTATATTTTTTAAGGCTAGCATTAGCCATGAGCATATGCTACTGTGTTTTTGAATTATAGTATTTGAATGTGTGAAAGAGTTTATTTTTTATTTTATTTTATTTTTTTTGTGTGTGAGTTTATTTATTTTTGTGTGAAAGAGTTTAAAGCGAAGAATTATTATTTTGCAAACTTGTGCTAAAATTTGCAGTCCCCCCCACCCCCAGCAGAAAGGGTCTTAAAAATGATGTTTATTTTATAATATCAAGTACCATTTAATTTCTAATGGTAGAAATTAGTTGCAAATGAGCTTCAGCATAATTATGAGAAACATAGCCAAGATGGGCATATTTCGTTAGGGAAAATAAATGACATTTAAAATAAAATCCCCAATCTACTTTTTCCTATTTTGTTTTGTCAGTTACTAGGAGGAATGCTTTGAAAATTTCCAACTATGAAGGCACCACAGTGGCTTGGTTGGTTAAACATCCAACTCTTGATTTTGGCTCAGGTCATGATCTCAGGGGTGTGAGATAGAGCCCTCAGTTGGGGCTTCATGTGGGGCATGGGGCCTTCTTGGGATTCTCTTGTCCCTCCACCCACTAAAAGAAATTCTCCACTATGATTATGGATTTATCTGTTTCTCTTTCTGGTTCTGCCAAGTTTTGCTTTATGTATTTTGAGGTGATACCATTTAGTTTATACAAATATGTGTAGAAGATTATTGTATCTTACCTGTGTCTTTACCTTTAGCAAAAAAAAAAAAAATTCTAATGTTAGTATGATTGATTGCCCAAGCATTCTTTTGGATAGTTTTTATATGGATTATCTTTTTTCTATCCTTTTGCTTTAAACTTTATCTTTTATTTAAGGTACATGTTTATAGGTATTGTGTTGTTGGTTTTTTTTTTAATCCAGTGAATAGTTTTTGCCTTGTTGAAGTATTTGGTCCATGAACATTTATTTTACTGTTGTAATCAGATTTAAAATTTAAAGTCTTACTCTCACCGCCCCACCCCAACCCCATTATGATATATTCCTTTTTATCTTCCTTTCTTTATGCTTAATTGTTTTTATATCACCCCAACCCATTGCTTGTTAGTTATACATTCTTTTGCTATTCTTTTAGTGGTTATTCAAGATTTCAGTATGTATCTTTGACTTAAAGTCTGGTATATATTAGTACTTTTGCCACTTTTTAAACAATGCAAAAATCTTAGGACATTTGGTTGCATTTACCTCTTTCTGCCTTTATGTTTTTGTGTATCTTAGTTCTACATGTATCTAAACACGTAAGACATCATCATCATCATCATTTTATACAGTGAATATTCAGCAGAAAAACCCACATATTTATCCTTTCTGGTGCTGTTCTTTCTTTCATGTACGTTTGTGGTTCCATTTGGATAATTACTCTTCTCACTGAAGAGTTTTCTTTAGTATTTTCTTTATTGTGGGTCTACTGTAACATTCTCTCAGTATTTGTGGAAAAGTGTCTTTTTCCTGCCATCATTTTGAAGAATGTTCTGGGTATAGAATTTTGGGTTGGCACTTTTAAGATATCATTCCATAATCCATTTTTATTAAGAAGTTGCTTCTCTGAAGCTAGTTTCTTTTTGTTTTTGATTTTCAACAATTTTACTATGATGTTTCTACTTAGAGTTTCCTTTGTGTTTATTCTGCTTTTTATTTATAGTGATTCCTGAATCTGTGGTTGGATTTATTGTTGTTGGTTTTAGACAATTCTCAGCCATTATCTCTTCAAGTAATGATTCCCATTCATTCTTTTTCTCTCTCCTTCTGGGACTTACCCAGACTACCTCTCTCCCCAATTCTAATGTCTCTTATTTCTTTTCTATATTTTCCACCCCCCCTTTTTGTTCATTTTTCAATGTGGAGATGGGCCTGTCTTCCAGTTTACTTAATCCCTCTTAAGCTTTGTCTAAACTGATGTTAAAATAATCCATTAACAGAAATTAACTCAAACTAGCTTAAATAATAAGAGGAAATTACTATAAGTTCAGGGATAGGACTCAAACCCAGGATATAGCTGGATCTCAGGAAGGGACTAGAGCCTGGACCGGAAAGCTATTTATTTAGAACCTAGTTTCTGCTCTTTGTTCTTATTTTCTCATCTTTGCTTTTCTCTCCTATTTCTGTTTCTCTCCTTTTGTGTCATCTCACTAGTTTTGTCTTTCAAAACTGGCTCTTTGTTATTCCTTGCTTATCTGAGAGCTTATAACGATCCTGTACCTTCTGAGCTTACATGTTGTAATTTTAGCCACATGAAGAGACTCTGAATCCTAATTCCAAATTGCCAGAAGAGAGAATCTGATTGGTTCAGACTGAGTTAATGATTTGCTTATGCTCCCATCAACTTTGGCTGGAGTGGGATGTTATCTTGTAATGTCATATAACATGGTTGTTAGGGTCCTATCTTCATGGATGAGAGGCACCTCTTAATGAGAGCTATTTTGCCACCAACCACAGTGGATGTCTCCTTTACCACAGTTGAGTGATATAGCCGATGGAGTTAGTCTGAATGGAAGAGGAACTTTTGAAAGAGGCCAGGAATGCAAGTGAAAGTATAGGAGAATGGTTTATACTACCCCCATGGGACTTGGGCAGTGGGAGAATGAGTAGTTTTTACTTAAGAGAGAAGTGGTCTCCTTGGTGGAGAGTTAGCTCTTAATTAAGACATAGGGAATGGGGTACTCATGAAAAAGTTTGAGGTTTTAGGGAAGGTTATTTATGAAAAAGAGATTCCAGGGTTTATATTGGAACTCTTTGGGAAGGTGGTTAGTCATAAGGTGAACCAAAGAGAAGGAGCTCCAAAGCAGTGAGGATAGATCGACCATCAGAGAGGAAAGATGACTGAATACTTGATTCTGGGTGATGTCAACAGTATGCTTGAAAGCCATGAGAAGTATAGATATAAGTAATTGACGAATGATTGGAAAACTTTCATTTTCCTCTTATTTCTATCTGAGTTGAAGATAACAGAGGCAGTCCCAAGAGTTACTAATTTTTGTAGCTACATCTCAACACAATGAACTTATTTTGGTTTGAGACTTTATTTTTGTTAGAGTTTCCCTTTCCCGATTCATATTGATATGACTGTGACTTGAAGTGATGGACTGACTCCTTGTAGTGAATTCTGATAGTTCCGTTTGGGTTTTTAACAGTGGTACATGTCCTGTACTTGGCCTTCACATTTCTGACACCTTTGGTCATCTTTTGAGCACATGCTACTATTGATTTGGAAGAGTATGACTTACAGTTATGTTGCTTGCTCCTTTGAATCGATATCTGGGATCATCTGTTTGAATAAGACTGTTAATGCATTTTCCTCATTACTAAAATATCCGTGTTACACCTTACATACATACTTGCTCACTCATTCTCTCTACATACACACCTTTTATAATTTGCACCCCCCATCTTCTGTACAGTTTTCTGTTTCCCTCTAACTGATCTCTGATTCCTTTTGTCCTTTTTGTGGCAGCCATATGAATTTCCATGTTAAGCCTGACAGACTGTTAATGAAATGCACATCTTTCATCTTAAGCATACATTATCTTCTTTTCACTTTTGATATTTCTTTATTCCCACACACTGAAATGGTAGTTTGTTAAAAAGTGAAAGTAAATGTCAGTGACTTTGAATCTCAGTTGTAGTATGTTTGAAAATAGTTCCAGACTTAAGACATTGCTGTTTAGATTTAGTGATACTTTTTGAAATTACTACATAATTTTGAATAATATATTTTTGTCAGAAGAAATTTGTAATGACAGTACATAGCAAATTAAGTTAAAAAGTAAATAGTATTTGTGTATGGAGTACACCATGCTTACTGTTTCTAATGGACTTATTCCTACCATTTTTTACTTAATAATAATTATTGCAGAAGTAGGGGAAGATAAAGTGAAAAAAATGAATGCATTGTAGGAAAGATTAAGAAAGAAGAAATATAAATGGAGAGGCATTTGCAAGATGGTTGGAGTTCTCTTTTATAATCAAGCTTAAAGGGATCCCTGGGTGGCGCAGTGGTTTGGCGCCTGCCTTTGGCCCAGGGCGCGATCCTGGAGACCCGGGATCGAATCCCACGTCAGGCTCCCGGTGCATGGAGACTGCTTCTCCCTCTGCCTGTGTCTCTGCCTCTCTCTCTCTCTGTATGACTATCGTAAATAAAAAAAAAAAAATAAAAAAAATTATAATCAAGCTTAAATAGTTAAAATGTGCTGAGGCTCAATATTTATTCTGGTAAATTAAAATACTTGGTTCAGCTGCATAGAATTATTAAAATATTTCTGTAAAATAGTAATATTTTATTTTAAAATATTTAAAATATTTTAAAATATTTCTGTAAAATAGTAAAATCTAATAGTAAAGTCTAATATTGTGGGAAAATGCTTGGTAGAATGTTGATCATATTCCTATGTTTTAGTCCTTTTTATTCCTTCTTAAAAAATGAAATAATGTTTATTTGTTTAGGGATAATTTATGCTATTTGCCCTTGCTTTTCAAATTATCATTGGTTTCTTAACTTTCCTCAGGAAATACATGCTCATGAGTGAACCTTCTTCATGTAAAACTTAAAAAAATCCTATGCTATTAGTACCTTCAAAATAAAGATGCTGAATGTTAAACTCTCTGAATGCTTTCTCCTTTTAATTAGTATATACAGGATATAATTTTATAAGTTTATGGCAGTTATCTGAGTATCTCAGTTACTAAATATACTAAAAATATGTTGTGAACCTGGTTCTTTTTCTCCTTCTTTAGTTATTAAACGTAATGGTTGAATGATTCTAAAGCAGAACTTTCAGTGATTAGTAGAAAGTGGTGATGGTGTAATGTGAAAGGAATGATATTCCTTAATCCCTTGGCTCACGAAATTTACAAAGTAGGCTTATTTAAGGAAAATAGAGTTGATGACATAAAGGATAACTATAAAAAGCAATTCAGAATTAGGGGCAAAAAGTAGAACTAACGTCTGCTGGATTTTGACTCAGGACTCTTCTAGATTTGACAGGCACGTATGTGGACTAAATACTGTGTTCTTTTTTTTTCTTCCCAAGTGGCTCGAGTTGCCAAGTCTTTGCCAGAAGGTTGATCATTGCAGCTTGTAGACCATATTTTTTATTCCTTAATTACATTAACAGCTAGAGTTGTTTTATGGATTTTTCTTGAGACTGATGCCAGCCCTTTTATGGGTCTGAAAGTAATTGTAGCATGAATCTAGACTGTATTTTTAGTCTTTAAAATTTCCAGGAGTGTTCTTTATTTATTTGATATATAAATTTTCCATCTGCTCTACTTCTCTGTAATATTTTAAAAATATGCTTGCTATGAAATACAATAAAACACTTCATGTAGTTCTGAGTTCAAAAATTTAGATTAAAAATTCAGTGATGAGTAATAGTGTTTGTTACATCCAATGACTGTAGTTTAGCCATTTTGACTACTGTTATACTCTTCTTTTTTTTTTAAAAAGATTTTATTTATTTATTTGACAGAGAGAGAGTGAGAGAGAGACAGAGATCACGAGTAAGGGTAGGGCCAGAGGCAGAGGGAAATGCAGGCTGAGCAGGGAGCCTGATGCAGGACTTGATCCCAGGATTCTGGGATCGTGACCTGAGCCCAAGACAGAAGCTTAACTGACTTAGCCACCCAGATGCCTGTCTACTGTTAAACTTATTCTAATATATGAAGGTATATATTATGGGTGTTTATCTCTTTAAAATCCGTACTCTATCAGTAGTACAGTTCCTCTCTCTGTCCCCAGTGAGAGTCATTAGTGAATGGTATAGTGTGGACCTGGGTTAGATTCTATTTTTACCTCCTGAATAAATTGCATACAGTCTCATTTACTTACTTGTAAAATAAATATAATCTACTTTTCAGAGCTGTTGTAAGGATTAGAGAAAATGTATAGTGTCAGATCCTCTGCCTAGCTCTGAGTAAATGGTAGGTAAGTTATTATTACTGTTATTAATAAATAGTGTCTGTGGAGTGCTTTGACAATATGATACAGACACTGGGCTTTATATGTAAATTGAAAAGGATATGATGGAATAAGGAAAGCAAGTATACAGTCCCAGGGGAGGAGGTTAATAGAGCTTTCTGGACTAGACCAGAATATATGAAAATATATATATGAAATGTATTTCATATATTTGCTCAGACTTATGAAAATAAGCAAATCTATCTCTCAGTCTGGTCTTTGTAAATAGATTTTGAACACTAACAAAATATATATTTTTTTCCTTTTAAGGGTGCTATTTTCCTGGAAGGTGTAACTGTTAAAGGTGTGACTCAAGTAACAACTCAACCAAAGTTAGGAGAGGTACAACAGAAGTGTCATCAGTTCTGTGGCTGGGAAGGGTAATAAACATTTTCAAGTTTTAAATAAAAACTTACTCATACTCTGAAACATTTTACCTTAATGAAAACATTGACTTAGCTTCTTTGCTCCTTGAAGTTTGAATTTTTACCTCGAGTGCTTAAAAAGATATCAAGCAAGAGTTTATCAGATTTTTCTCAAGACCAACAGTTGAGTCAAAATTAGATGACTAGACATAATTAAATCACTCAGATATGTCTTCCTAATGGAATAGAAGGTTACTTTTGTCACTGCCTACTATTTATTTTATGTGTTGATTCTGTTGCTGATTAATGTTTGGGTTGCCCATATCATTGTACTGAGGGAGAAGAGGTAAAACTTGAAGACTTAAATGTACCTAATTTCCCAGTTTTTCTGTAATCCAGTTTTCTGAAACCTGGGAGAATCAGCTTTAAATATGTTTTGCCCCTACCGTGACTTGAAAATATTTATCAGACATTTCATGGGAGGGGATTCAGGAGAGAGTTTTCTGCTCTGCTCTCTTGCTGTCCAGTCTTAGTCTACAGTCACTTCTATTGGTGATTGCCATCTGTGGCAGAAGATTGTTGTACAGCTAGAATATGATGAAACAGGATTGATAATTGTTAAAAATTCCTAATATAAAGAACTTTTAGACTGGTGCACACAGATAAATTAGCCAGAAATAATTTTAACTAAAAGATGAAAATGATAATGAAGTAACATTGATTTTAGTGCTGTGCTAAACCCTTGCCAGTGAACTTTAGTCTTGACCTATATTTTTCCTGTTTTGTCACTTCTGGGCATCTTTTAAGTAGAAATTTGCCAACTTTGTGGAGTAATGCCAAGTTGGCAGAGTCATGATGGAGGGATATGGGGTCGAGAATAAGATAATTAAGGCAAGCAAGATTTAAGCTTCTTCCTGAAGTAGAAGTTTTGTAAACGTACTTCTTTACTGTTAGATCATGAATATTAATATTTAAAAAGCCTAATAGTTACAGTATATAGTGGCAATTAGAATCTTGTTAACTTGAGTCTGAAATGTCTAGAAGATGATGACGTTTTGTTAGCATTCTTGGGAAAGCTGATATTCCAGTTGACATTAATCTCATGATGGGGAGAATGTTGTGATAAATGTGTGACTAATGCGAGATTGGTTTAAGATGTATTGCTTTGTGTGGATGCCAGCCATAATAGTAATAAAATGTTCTTCTTTAAGGTCTGGATTCCCTGGAGCACAGCCTGTTTCCATGGACAAGCAAAATATTAAACTTTTGGAGCAGAAGCCATATAAAGTAAGCTGGAAAGCAGATGGTACTCGGTAAGTTAGACTTCTAAATAAAGTTATACAAATAACTCTAATGCTTGAAGAATACTGCTTTGTTAGAGAAGGTTTATACTCTTGGGAGTGTGAATTTCTGACTTGAACAGCAAAATAATCATGTTTCAAATATATAATTTTTGTTTTCCTAGTATTCTTAGTTATCTAATTCAGTTTCTTTCATTCTGCTATATTATTTTTGGTTTCAGAGTTCTTTTTTTTTTAAAATGGATTTTATTTTTTAGTAATCTCTGCAGCCAATGTAGGGCTGGAATTCACAACCCTGAGGTCACAAGTTGCATGTTAACCCCTACTGAGCCAGCCAGTTGCCCCTCAGAGTTTTGTTAGTTTGAAATAAGTTTATACCAAATTTAAGTTTGAAAGTGGTTTCTCTTGATAATATTGTGCTTTTTGGTGTGTCTGCTGCCCACCACCTTGTGTTTAATGGTGGTTGAACATTTCTAAAACTAACAGATGTGTTGTCAGTTTATAATCTAAAAATTACCATGTCTCCTTGATATTTTGTTCCTTCGAATATTTTGTTCTGTATTTTGTTCCTTTGAATAGTTTTTCCTTTTAATCTTTGCTAATACTTTTTGTAATTTTATATACTTGTGAAAGTATTGTATTCTTACAACAAAGCTTAGTTTCAGGTTTTATATTCCTATACTTTTAAATATTTATTAGTGTAATTTTATACTTCCTCAATAACATTTAACTTTTTCTTTCTCTTTTGTAATCACATTTTTATAGCTTTGCCATATGTATTTTTTTTAACGATTTTATTTATTTATTCATGATAGACACAGAGAGAGAGAGAGAGAGAAAGGCAGAAGCAGGCTCCATGCAGGGAGCCCAATGTGGGACTCGATCCCGGGACTCCAGGATCACACCCTGGGTCAAAGGCAGGCACTAAACTGCTGAGCTACCCAGGGATCCACTGTATTTTTTAATTCAAATGTTCTAATGGTTGTAGTAATTATTTTAATAGATATTAACTTTCTCCTATTAACTTTTTCATAATAAAGAAAATGTTTCAGAATAATTAAGATAGCATTTATATAATTAGTTTTTTCCCAGCTTTATAGAGATATAATTGACATATGTTACATAAATTTAAAGTGTACAACGTGTTGATTTGATACACTTACATATTGCAAGATGATTACTATTCGCTAGTACTGCCATCTACTTCACATCATGACCTTTTCTTTTTTGTGGTGAGAATATTTAAGATCTGTTATCTTACCAACTTTCAAGTATATAGTACAATATTATGTGTTGTAATCACTATGATGTATATTAGACCCCTGGAACTTATTTGTCTTGTAATTGGAAGTTTGTACCCTTTGACCAGTTTCACCCCATTTCTTCTAGGGTCTCAGCCCCTGGTGACCACCATTCTAGTCTGCGTTTCTATCAGTTTGTTTTTTTTTAAGATTCCACATGTAAGTGATACTGTATAGTATTTGTCTTCCTCTGACAGACCTTATTTCTCTTAGCATAATGTCCTCAGGGCCCATCTGTGTTGTTGTAAATGGCAGAATTTCCTTCTTTCCCATGGCTGACTAATATTCCATTGTATTTATATAGCACATCTTTCTCTATTGACGGTAACTTAGGTTCTTCCCATATCTTGGCTATTGTGAATAATGCTGCATTGAAAGTGGCAATGCAGGTATTTCTTTGAGATGTTGTTTTCACATTTTAAATGTTATTTTGAAGATGATATAGGTTGCACTTCATTTTTGTGGGAAGTTTTTGAATGTCAACGTGACAATTACACCTTTTTTATCATGTTATCTTCATCTGTATTTTGCTTGTGCTAATCTTAAAAGATGCGTATGAAGATATGGAGTGGGGCAGATAGAACTTGATTTTAATATTGGGTGAATATAATGATACTATTTCAATATGATCTCCTTTTTAGTAATAACATTTTGTTTTTTTTTAAATAGAGAATATATTGAAGTATTTTTCATTTAATTTGTTTTTCTTTGTTGGAAATGATCTTTCCTTTCAATTTAGCATATTCTAGCTTTTTTTTAGGGGGGAGATTTTATAGGTAATAGGGCTCATGAAACAAAGTTCAGAAAATAACAAATGAAAAGAAGAAAATAAAATTAAAGAGTGATTCTCATCACCTAGAAATAACCCTTACATCATTGTGGTCTTGATCTTATTCTTTGATTATAAAGCAGTTTATATCGGGGTGCCTGGGTGGCTCAGTTGGTTGAGCATCTGACTCTTGACTTCAGCTTATCTTGATCTTAGGGTCTTGAGTTCAAGCCTTGTACTGGGCTCTGTGCTAGGTGTGGAGAATACTTTAAAAAAAAAAAAGTTCTATTGATGCTTCATATAGTGAATACAAATAGTTAAATAACAAGTATGTTTTAGGTATATGTTTATTTTTAAATATTATTTTGAATTTAGAAATGAATCTAAAAAATTAATACTTGATAAAATTTTAAGCTATAGTATAGAGACATAAAGTTAATTTTGCCCTGTGTGCTCCTGGAAGTGTTCATTTTACAAGGATGAATCTCTAAGGATGGATACAGTTAAAGATTTAGATCTAGACAATTTGGATAATTTGTCCCTTCCGTGCCCTCCTCCCTATGAATGTATATTTTTGAAGGATAAAAATTAGCTTCATTGCTTATTTTCAGAATGTTAAAATTATATTTAATATTATATTTAATTTTTTAGATTAGAATAAGCTTGGAATCTGAGTATTAAATTGGTAGTAAGGATTAACAGAAGTTAAGTTTTTTTTTTTTTAAGATTTTTTTTTTATTGAAGCACAGCTACACTCTTTGGTTTATTTTATTTATTTATTTATTTATTTTTAAAAATTTTTATTTATTTATGATAGAGAGAGAGAGAGAGAGGCAGACACACAGGCAGAGGGAGAAGCAGGCTCCATGCACCGGGAGCCCAACGTGGGATTCGATCCCGGGTCTCCAGGATCGCGCCCTGGGCCAAAGGCAGGCGCTAAACCGCTGCGCCACCCAGGGATCCACAGAAGTTAAGTTGTTGATGAGTGTGTGTGTGTGTGTGTGTGTGTGTGTGTGTGTGTGTGTGTGTGTGTTTTCTTAAGGTAGGCTCCATGCCCAGTGTGGAGTGCAATGCAGGGCTTGAACTCATAACCCTGAAATCAAGACCTGAGCTGAGATTGAGAGTTGGACACTTAACTGACTGAGCCACCCAGGTGCCTCGATATATATATTTTTAATAGCTGCATAACAATGTCTTAAGGTTTATTAATAGATATTTAATATTGTAACAGTGTCCTAGGTTTATTTTATTTGTGTTTTATTTCTAAAGATTTTATTTATTTATTCATGAGAGACACAGAGAGGGAGGCAGAGAAACAGTAGAGGGAGAAGAAGGCTCCCTGCGAGGAGCCTGATGAAGTATTTGATCCTAGGGTTCCAGGATCATGACCTGAGTCAAAGGCAGAGGCTCAACCACTGAGCCACCCAGGTGCCCTACTGTCCTAGGTTTATTAACCACCTCTGAGTGGAGAAGGAGTAAAAAAAGGTGAGGAGCAAAGATGCCCATCTCCAGACTTATACTATAAAATGGTTTGGGGATTTTGGACTGAGACATAGTTTTGATCCAATGAGTTTCATAATCTGTGTATTCTTTACTTTCTACCTTGTCTTCTCCATAGTATCCAGGCTATGATCATGCCAAACCTTGGGCAAAATAACAAAATCAGTTTCATTTGTCATTTGTATTTCCTAATTTTGTTTATTTTCCCTTTCCTGCTTCATAAACTCCTTTCCCCATGTCTTCTCAATAATGTCAGACCTCTAAATGATTAGCTAAATAATTTGAGCTAAGATGTTTTGATTGATAATGGAAATATCTCATTTCTCATGGAACTGTGCTCCATCAAAACAAAAGGATACCCTCTAAGTAATTATTTGAATTACTACTCTGTCTTAGGATACTTTGTTCTGGGAGGAAAAACATTTATGTGAGATATTTTCTGGACTAGTGCAAAATCTGTCTTTTGCACAGTAGGATTTAAGGCCAATAGCATGGGAGGAGGACTTTCTGTGATTACTGGGTGAAAAGAACCTCAGGGAGCTGTAGAATGGTCTAGGGGCCCATGGAATTAGAACAGCTGATTAACAGCCATGAACCCTAGACTCTATTTTATTTATTTACTTATTTTTATTTATTTATTTTTAAAAGATTATATTTATTTTCATTTTTTTAAACTTTTCTGTTAAAGGTATTTCATGACCTTTTGGTACATTGCATGGATTGAGTACAGAAGAAAGTTGTGTTAGGAAAAGTGTACTGAGGAGTAGAAAGAGCACAGAGGTAGAAGTTGAAGACTTAGTTTCTGATCTGTCTTTATCCTTTACTGGTTTGGATAAGGTTCATTGTTGCTAGTAATATATGCCATCTTTTTTTTTTCCCCTAAGATTTTATTTATTGATTTATTGAGAGGAAGAGAGAGAGCGAGGGGGAGGGAGAGGGAGAGTGAGAATCTCAAGCCGACTTCCCGCTGAGCATGGAGCCCAATGTGGGGCTCAATCCCACGACCCTGAGATGATGACCTGAGCCGAAACCAAGAGTCAGATGCTTAACTGACTGAGCCACCCAGGCACCCCATGCCATCTTTTATTAAATAGCTGTATATGTTTTCTACTTCATAATGTTTATTTGAAGCCTAAATGAGAAAGGATGTATAGAAATGGCTTTTATTTTTTATTTACTTATTTATTTATTTTTAGGATTTTATTCATTCATGAGAGACACACGCACAGAGAGAGGGAGAGGCAGAGACACAGGCAGAGGGAGAAGCAGGCTCCATGCAGGGAGCCTGACGTGGGACTTGATCCCAGGTCTCCAGGATCAGGCCCTGGGCTGAAGGTGGCGCTAAACCACTGAGCCACCCGGGGTTGCCCTAGAAATTTGGCTTTTAAATTGTGGAATGCTCTAAATGAAATGTACTGTCAGTTTCCCAATATTAAACATAT